CCCAGAGAGGGCACGTCACAGCATTCTCATCATCTCATTGAACAAACATTTGCCTGAATGTCTCCTGGGGCCGGGCTGTGTGCGGGAGACCACAAGAGGTTCCCTGCTATCTAAGGGCTCAAGCTTAGTGGGCAGAAATGCCATGAAATGTGCAAGGCACATGTGGCAGAGTGACAATAGTCATTTATTCCACGTGCTCATCCTGGATACGAGTCAAATCAGCAACACTCACTGTACCAGCCAGGAGCTTCCAGTTCAGCAGCGACAGAGGACGGGCGTAAGTCTGATCCTGCTTCCCTGGCTCCTTCCACAATGCTGCACCTTCCATCCCCTACAACCTTCACTGTTTCGCCTGGTCGCCATACTGAATTTTTCCATACCGACCTTGAGACAACAGGAACCCAGGTGTTCCGCCAATACGGGGAAGTCCTCCACTCTCCCCTATCCCACTTCTGAAAAGCCCACCCCCAAAGACAATTCTCCCCCTTCTAAACCACACACAAGCCTCAAGTTGACTAGTGCTCTTCCACTGTCAGCACATGTCAGCCTTTGGTCAGCAGGAAACCAGGGCCTCTCCCAGCCCCTGCTGGAGCTCAACCAGTGCCTAGCATACCACCGGGGCTTGTCAATGGGTTGTACTTGCAATAACAGAGTTCACGCTCCTGCTCCAAGTCAAGTCTGGCTGGTGGGAAGACTTTGGTCCCTTGCAAACACTATTCTGTGTCCATGGCATTAGGTGATGACCCCCTCCCCGACACGTCCCAGCTGGCTTGAGCTGTAGCCCACGGGTGTGGGTGTGACCGGGCCTGGAGGAGAGAGCGCTCTGCCGCGAAGGCTGTCGACGAGAGTGGAATCAGCCTGGGAGGAGGGAGTGAGTGGCGGAAGGGGTGGGCTGGCAGCCTGAGCGCAGGTTGGGGGCTAGGAGGGGTAGGGGCATACCTTTGGGCGGAGTGTAGAGGCTGAGATGGAAGGTAGACTTGTAGATGAAGTCCCAAGGAGGTGGGGGGGAGGACCGGAGCAAGTGGAAGAGCAGGGGCGGGCGGCAGATGGGCAGGGGAGTGGGGCTGAGAGCAGGGAGCACCCCCCAGCCTCCTGCTCGTGGTATTGATCTGCTAGATTACTCAATTTCACCCGTATTGATCAGGTAATTGCTTTATCTCGGTTCTCATTTGAGCTCTGCATTCTCCTGGCTTCCCCACCTCTCTCCCTCTTGTTTTTTCCTATCAACTTGACACAGGGCTCCTTAACACAGAATATATATATATATATATATATAAAGTTTGGTTAGCCTGCCCTGGATTGGTGTTTGGGGAAGGGGAAGGGGGTGGGATGGAGTGATGGGGAGACCAGCCTCTTCTGGGAGCCCCTGAGTTCTCCTTTTCCAAGAAATCCCTCCTGGCTCCAGAGAGTGGAAATGTCTGCCCAGGTTCTCAGAGGCCCAGAAAAGAGCAAGGGAAATAGAATCCAGGGGTGTCCCCAAACCCCAGAGGCCTAGAGCCTCGGCCTCAGCCTGCCTCTGCTCCCCCAGCTCCTAGGCCAGGCTTTTGGACATGTCTCCATCCCTGCCTCCATCCCTGTTGCTGCTCTCTCGGGGCCTCGGAAACTATTGCCGTGCAGCTGGCCGCTGCTTCTCCGGCTGTGCGTGGGTCTTTCCTGCCCACCTCCCTCCCACACTGCCCCCTCAACCACGCTCCACCCTAGTGCGCAGGCCACATGCCAGAGCAGCCAGGTCCCCGGCTCAGGTGTGGAGTCTGCAGGACCAGGGGAAGTGCCCAGCTGGAGCCGTGTCCCTCCTAGCCCACACTCTGGGTCCCTGGAACTCCCTGCCCCAATGACAGAGCCGCATCCAGGAGCACACAGGCCCCTGGCCCAGGGGCGTCCTTCCGATCGGGGCTGTGGTGAGCCGTTGTCCCTTTGCACTCCTGCATGAGGACCTGAAAACATCAGGAGCAGCCCAAGGTACAAAGATTCTCAGCACTGGAACTCTGTTCTCAAAACTTCGACTGAGAACTCAGTTTACAAAACAGAGAAAGCCTTGAGTGACCTCCAAAGAAAGTTTAAATCTTCACGGCTATGCCAACCCCTCAAACTCCTGGGAGGCTCCCAAGGGTCAATGTGTGGGCAATTTGAAAAGCACTGCATGGAGACAAAACAGTAGGGGACAGCAGAGGCTGGAGGCCCCTCAGCTGGAGCCAGGTTGTGTCTGACTTTCCAGAGACTTCTGCAGGAATGAGAGTTGCCAGGTGGGCGGTGCTCACCTGTGAGGCCCAGCGCAGGAGACTGCAAAGAAGACAGGAGGAGGCAGGAGTAGAGGCCTGGGACCTAGAGCAGGAGCAGCTGGGGAACTAGAGAGACCCCTTGGCTGAGAGGAAGACAGCTAAAGGACTTGGGCAGGGGGGCAAAGCTACGAATTTAGTCAAAAATATTTCCTGAGCGACCACTTCGTGCCAGGCACTGAGACGGGGCTCGGGAATTCCATGGGGAACACAATAGATAAGGCTCAGACCCCCCTGGTGGAGTTTAGAGACTCCGGGAGATTGGCAACCAGCTCTCCCTCCCCAAAGCCTCCTGAGCTCCATCCCACCCATGCCCATCACCCATCTAGGCCTGCTCTGACCTCTTTGAGGGAGGGAGCCCACCAGGCAGGGGGGTGGGGGGGGAGCTCAAGCGAGGCATCCTCCTCACACTCTACACTAAGAGAGTCCCATCTTTTTTTTTTTTTTCGAGACAGTGTCTTACTCTGTCACTCAGGCTAAACTACAGTGGCCCCAATTATAGCTTACTGCAGCCTCGAACCCCTGGGCTCAAGCGATGCTCCTATCTCAGCCTCCTGAGTAGCTTGGACTACAAAAATGCTCACCACCACACCTGGCTAATTTTTTCATTTTTTTGTAGGGACAGCATCTCATTACATTGCCCAAGCTGGTTTCGAACTCCTAGCCTCAAGCAATCCTCCCACCGCAGCCTCCCAGAGTGCTGGAATTACAGGCATGAGCCACTACACCCAGCCAGAGTCCCATCTCTGAGCCATGCTGTCATCCGCATCCAGTGAGGAGGCTGAGAGAGCAGCATGGGGCGTGCAGGAGGGTGGGGGCCCCCATGGGCTCCTCTGTCTGAGTGCACCCCACCGGCAGTGAACAGGCAAGTGTGAGCCATGAGTAGCCATGGCAGGCAAGCTTTCTCTCTCTCTCTCTCTCTCTCTCTCTCTCTCTCTCTCTGCCACTGTCCCCGCAGAGACCCAGACAACTCTCCTCTGCAGTTTTCCAGAGGCCGGGACAACCCATCCCTTTTCCTTCCTGAATCAGCTTCCAGAGTCCCCCGCTGTGCCCTGGGGAAGTTCCTCCCTTGGTCTAACTAGCATTCCTCCTACTGCTCCCACAGCCTTTTTCTTCTTCTTCTTCTTTTTTTTTTTTTTTTGAGACAGAGTCTCGCTTTGTTGCCCAGGCTAGAGTGAGTGCTGTGCGTCAGCCTAGCTCCACAGCAACCCTGGGCTCAAGCAATCTCCTGCCTCAGCCTCCTAAGTAGCTGGGGGACTACAGGCTGCGCACCATGCCCAGCTAATTTTTTCTATATATATTAGTTGGCCAATTAATTTCTTTCTATTTATAGTAGAGACGGGGGTCTTGCTCTTGCTCAGGCTGGTTTCGAACTCCTGACCTCAAGCAATCGGCCTGCCTTGGCCTCCCAGAGTGCTAGGATTATAGGTGTGAGCCACCACGCCCGGCCTGTTTTTTATATGTATGTTTGTTTTAATTAATTTAATCAAGCAGTTCTGAATTGCTTGGGAAACAGGACTTTCTCTTCCTCTGCACATTACACTTAAACGTATTCTATCCTTCAGAATACATAGAAGTGGCTTTTTGCTTTTGAGTAGATGTGCTCTTAAGAAAAAATCAAGATCCAAAAGAATAAAAGAGGGTGGAATTTTAGCCACTGTAATAAGCTAGTAGAAGAGATACTTTTGGCCTTGGATCCTCTTGGCTCTACTCAAATAATTTCCAAGGTCATCCATCTGTTTTTCCTAATTGTAAGATTAAATCAGTGGCTTTAAAAGAAAAAAAAGTCCTGCAGAGCAATTTCTATGGAACATCAGCTTGGGAAATGCTGCTCTGGCACAGTGTTATTCAGTCACATGTACCTAAAAAGCTACAATCTTGCACATACCTGCAGACGACAGAATCATATCTGAGGATGACTCTTGTTATACCAAGAATAGAAGGTGAAAGCTGATTGGGACCAATTTCTAACCACACTCTATCATATGCACCTTTTTTATTTCCTCTTCTAGATCATCATACTTTCTTATTTTTGGTTTTTCCAGGGAAAAAAAATCCATTTTTTCCTTCTTCCTTCTCATCTGTGCCTTAGCATAAAGAGCCCTCTTGACATCATAATCATACATGCCACTGACACCTCACAGTAAACTCACAGGGTTCCTGAGGCCTCAGATGAAATACCTTTCTCATGCCTTATTTATCAGAAGGACCTTCAGGGGAAGTTGAGAACTTGCGAGCCTGTAAAGTTGATGCAGTTAGCACAGTGAATGAAAATAAGTCTATTTGCAAAACTGAAAATTGAGGCAAGTGATACGTACATAGTATTTAAAATTGCAGAGGAGAAGGCACTTGTACCATTCATTCAACAATATTTATTGAGCACCTACTAACTGTTAAGCTCTGAACTGCTGGGATTACTGTTGTGAATAATAGGAAGTCCCTGCCTTATGGAGTTTATGTTTTAGAATGTAGATACACAAGTAAATGATATTTCAGACAATAAGGATTATTGTCAAGAAAATAAGAGGCTAGAGAAGATGATAGCGAAATTGAGTTGAAGCAGCTGAACAGTAGTTACTAGGAAAATGGGGAACTGGGATTTATTCCAGTTAGAATGTTTGCTTCCTGTTGGTAGTAAACACTTTGTACTTTAGCATAAGTAAAAGTAGTGATAATGAATGACCAAACCTCTAATGTAGTCTTTTGTCTTTTCCACCATCACAGGTGTGGTTCCTCAGAGTGCGCCACCAGTGCCAACAGCCTCTTCCCGGTTCCATTTCCCACCTCTGGACACCCATTCTCCAACCAGTGATATGCAGCCGGGGCGGTTCTCTGCTAGTTCCCTCACTACTAGCCAGGAGTCAAGTAATGGCACTGATAGGAAGGCGGAGCTTTCAGAGCTAGAGGATGGCTCAGCCGCTGACTGGCACCGGGGTGTGGATCACATATCTTCCCGGAACGCTGTCAGTGGTGGAGGGATTGGCCATCAGAAACGCAAGCCTGACATAATGCTTCCTCTGTTCACTAGGCCAGGGATGTACCCTGACCCCCACAGTCCCTTTGCTGTCTCTCCAATCCCCGGCCGCGGAGGTGTCCTTAATGTCCCCATTTCACCAGCCCTCTCCCTGACGCCCACCATCTTCTCCTATAGCCCATCACCAGGCCTGAGCCCCTTCACCAGCAGCAGTTGCTTCTCCTTCAACCCTGAGGAAATGAAACACTACCTTCATTCTCAAGCCTGTTCTGTGTTCAACTACCATCTGAGTCCTCGGACTTTCCCTCGTTACCCAGGGCTTATGGTTCCGCCACTTCAGTGCCAAATGCATCCTGAGGAGTCAGCTCAGTTTTCTATCAAGCTGCAGCCCCCACCGGTTGGGCGGAAGAACCGGGAGAGGGTCGAGAGCAATGAGGAGTCAGCACCTGTTGCCGCACCTACCATGGCTCCTGTCCCCCCAAGAATTAAAGTGGAGCCTGCCTCTGAAAAGGATCCTGAGAGCCTCAGGCAGTCGGCACGAGAGAAGGAGGAACACTCTCAAGAAGAGGGCACTGTGCTGAGCAGGACCATAGAAGAAGGAAAAGGCACTGTCTTTGCCCGCCCCACTGCACCACCCATATGGCCCTCTGTGCCCATCAGCAGCCCAAGTGAAGAGCCCCTGGAGGTGACTGAAGACAGCGAGGATAGGCCTGGCAAAGAGCCTAGTGCACCTGAGAAGAAAGAAGATGCCCTGATGCCCCCCAAGCTTCGGTTGAAGCGACGCTGGAATGATGACCCTGAGGCCCGAGAGCTGAGCAAGAATGGCAAGTTCCTCTGGAATGGGTCAGGACCCCGGGGCTTGGCAACAGCAGCTGCTGATGCTTAGAACTGGCAGTGGATTTGGAGCTGTTTATACTATAATCAAATACATACATGTATTTATGTAGCAAGATTTCAGGGTGGGGGGGAGGGAGTTAGACTGGGCTGATCATTCTAGGGGCATAGACTTGTATTTTTATGTTTGGGGGATGGGATAGGGTATCTTCTGTTGTAAATTAGGTGGGATATGAACACACTTTTTTTTCCTGGTGAGTAGGACACAGGGAAGGTATTGAACTGCAAGGAGAAGGAGCCTCTCTTTCTTTTTGAGGCTTACACTTTCTGACAAGGAAACTCCTAAAGGGCCAAGATACTTTTTGGTCCCATGATAGTTCAGGTTCCAGACTTCTTTCTTTTCTATTGTATTTATATATGGAAAGCCATTAATGAATTTATTATGCTCCAAGAGATACACATAAAAGGGAAAAGGGCATGAATGGGTGGTTCAGCAGTGAGAGACCATTGATGATAAGTATTTTGCCTGAAATGTTTCTTTATAATTATTTCAGGGGAGGAATAAGATAATCTCAGTCTTACTGGGGTGGGGGTGGGGGGTGTTCAGACGTTGCTCTTTCTCTTTTTTCTTGTTGTTTGGCATTTTTGCTTTTCTTTAAAAAAAAAAATGTTTTCAGGAAACATGAGCGTACTGCCAGTTAGAGTGGGGCTGGGAAGGCACAGGAGCTGGCCACCTCTCAGCTGCATGGCTGAGACAGGAAGCCCTGCTGTGAGTTTCTTGGACTTTTCACCTACTTCACCTATTAAGAAGCCATGAGGAGTTGTAAACTCTTGTTCAGGGAAGAAAGAAGAGGGCAGGAGGAAGGAACCCAATGCCTTTAAAAACAAAACAAAACAAAAGAATCTTCATTTTTCTTTTTCCATTATGGGTTTGGGGAGCCAAACCAAAGTGTGACTGTGAGCAAGTTCACTGAGAGGCATGACAGCATTGTTGAAGATGTCTTTCCATTATGTCTGATTCTTTTATTTTCTTAAGTCAAGCCTTAACTATGAACATACTTTAAGATGATACGGGTCTGTCAACATAAACCTGTAAAAGGGCATGGACAACTTTTCAGATAATCCAGGAATGTTGAGACATGGTTAAATTTCTAGCTGATATTTAGTCATTCCCTCTTGATGTTGTTGGGATGGGTAACAAAAACGCCAGATTGTGGGAGTTAAGGGCAGATGTTACCTGGAAATGCAGAAGGTAGCTAGGGGTACAAGTGGATGTTTGTTGAAACTGAAGGAAGAGGTGGAAGGAAGACACAAAAAGCAACCAGATGCCCAAAGCCTGGTATGAATGAAAAAGAGCTGGTGTCTGTCTTGTGGTGTTGCCATTCTTGCTAATACCCATTTGCCTAGATTGTTCTGATTCTCATGTCATATTCAATTGAGTATCCTAGATGAGACTCCAGTTTACAGGCAGTGAGGAATTGTTTCTTCATGGGAAATTCCCTTTCAGCAACTTCAAAGGAACAGGAAAGTGTCAATCTTGGGCTAGGGGAAGAGAAAGAAACAGCAGCTCACTTCCTGTGTGTGTGCACACATGTGCCTATGTAGTGTATGTAAATACTTGACTGGCTCAGATCTGTAGGGCAGCAGGGAGAGAAGAAATAACTCCATATCTGATGGGAGCAAGAGGTGGCACAGGGATGGTGTCTAAGAATTGGAGAACTTCCTGACTCCACCTTAACTTAAGCGAACTCTATATACTGAGTACCATTTGAGGATTGTCTTTTAATGGTTTGGGGGTGGGGGGGTTCTTTTTTAGACTGGAATGCTTACATGAGAAAGGGGCTCCAGGAAAGGTTAGAGCAGGTGAGTGAAACAGTCAATAGCCTGGTATGACTTGAGTCCATTGTGTTATTTCTTGACAAGTGTCCTCCCCTATTTGATTCAAATTCCATGAGTCTTTCTCCAAGAAAGGGACTGAGAGTGGTCCCTAGCAACTGAGGCTTTGGTAAGCCTGCAGAGGGCTCCTCTTTCCGGCTGCCTTTGGTGGTTGTGTTTTTATCAGTTTCTTTCTCTGCACCTCGACTTACCTCTGAATCAGAAAGCAAGCCCAGCAGGTAGGGGAGGGTTCTCTGCTTGGTGTTGCCTGATCTAACCAGGGAGGCTGGCTGGCCGCCCACTGTCTGCTAGAGGGGAGGGCCAGCAGGTGTCGGTATGAACTCAGGAATAGAAACACGAGGCCTTTAAAATTAGAGAGGGAGAACAATCCATGATGCATACCTGTAACCCCCTAGAACCCAAGTGCCAGAATTAATTCCTAGATGCTGCTTCTGTTTGAAAAAGTCACTGCTTTTACACTTGAAAAAACACACACAAAAAATGTTCATGAATAATGTTTTTTGGCTTTAAGAAATTGTTTGGTGTTTTACTGTTTCCTTTGATTGCCATTCCACCAGTAAATTGTTGGTTGATTTGCACTGCACACTGGGGTTGGGTTGGGGGGTGGGGAGCGCTTAAACAGAGCCGAACTTGGGCTTGCTCAGGAAGTGGACCAGGGAATGTGGAGGTCATTGATATTTCCTGGGGCAAAGGAGTGGGAGGTAGTTTTTCTCTCCCCAGACCATTCCTGGCAGCACCTGTCACCAGCCTGGTAGAAAGCCAGCCCTTTCTCTTCTGTGAGCATCTCATCACTGTCCAACAGCAGGTGGAAAAAAGGGGGACGAAAAGCAGACCTATTTTTCTCTCCCCCATTTTTTTCCAAATTTTGCTGTGCCAAATGTTTTAAACTTTGCAAATATAAATCTACTGAAATTTCATTAATCAAGAACTGGTTCATGTAAACAGTTTGCTTTTTTAGCTATAGAAAAAACAGTAGAGATCTCTTAAGGGCTTCCAGCCTTGCTGAGCTCGCCTTTTTTCCTGAAGAATGGGTAGGAGTGAAATACGAACAATTCACCGAGTCTCTCCACTCTAATTTTCAGGCTGCACTGCATTAAACCCAACTCACTAATACAGAGAGTTTTTGCACCCTAGTCCTCCATGGGCCAAGAAAGTTTCAGAAGCATTAAAAAAATAGTTGAAGTATATCACTTCTCACCAAATGGGTAGAGTCAGTTGGCTGTTTGTCCCTTGTTTTTTTATTTATTCCATAATTATGTTTGTGCTTTTCACTTTGTAAACAGTTATGGAACGTACATTTTTATTTTGTTTTAAAAGAAAATTTTGATTCAGTCTTTTCAAGACCTGTTCCATTTTTGATTTCTTCTTAGGAGAAAAAAAAGTTACCAGTTAATTTGTTTTGAAATATTTAGGCATTCTTTGAGTTGTAAAATTGTGATGCAGGGATTTGTGAATGAAACGTTCACATGTGAAAGAACATTCACTAGTTATCCGCTTAAGCAGAATAAAGTTGTGTATATGTACATAAAATGTAAGTAATCTTAACTCCATTGTGCAGTGCCTTTTAGATGTTCCGCTTTCTATAAAGTCTTCAAATTTTTGCATATATATTATATATATGATGTAATGTTATAGAAATATATGTATAATATACATATTTTTTTTCCAGGGGTATCTGATAGCTCTGTATTTTGTTATGGAAGTTGAAAGAAAAAAAGTATTTTACCTCAGAAATTAAAGTTAAATAAAAAAATGCTTTTAAGTAATGTTTGCTGAGTGTTGGTTTTATTGTTCATCATACACTATGCCAGGGTAGTCTTGCCAGAGAATTCACCAAGTCCATGCTAGCTCACTCGGTCCCCAAACCTTTTTATTCCTACTGCACAGGTACCCACATAGTGAGGAAGTAGGTCTCATAACAATTTAGAGATTGTCCATTTCCTTGAATGAATGACTGCTTCCAGATAAAGGAAACTGAAGCCAGAGACAAGTGTTAGGTGGAAATTTCTTTCTCAAGATTGTTGTGAGGATTCATTAGGAGTACGTATCAAAGCCAGACACAGACGACCACACGTTGCCTGATTCCGTTTATATGACATGTCTAGAACAGGCAAATCCATAGAAACCAAACAGGATTAGTGGTTGCCAGGGAAAGTGGGGGGTGATCAGCAGAAACCAGCGCCTCCCCCACCCCTGTGCCCAAGAGTCCAGCTGAGCCACTGCCTAGTATTTCCCAGTAGAGAATGAGAATCCAGAGGGTGGGAGGGGTTCTTGTTGGGGTATTGAATAATATAACACATCTTAAGAAAAATAGTGCCAGACAGTAATCTCATTTCCGCCATATGAGACAAGCAAAGTAACTGAAGGTCTGAACATGCCAAAGGTTAATTTGAGCTCTACTAAAAGGTCCTGTGAGTAGTTCAGGAAGGGTGGAATGGAGTGGTGAGGGGTGCAGCTGAAGAGACACACGGATGGATTAGGAAGGGTCTTAGGAGACACCTAAAGACTTTGCCTTCTAGCATTGCCATCCCCAATATTTCACAAAAGAGTTCAGGCTTGGCCAGTGAGGATCATTGAAGGACACAGCCCTAAGAAACTACCCTACCAAATTAATCTCTGCTCAAGATGATGCAGCTCATTTGGGTGAAAAAAAGGAAAGTGGCAGGGGCTGACTGGTAACCCATGTCACAAAGCTGGGAATGTGCTTGGATGAGACCCTTCTGCTGGGAAAGCCTCCTGCTTCTCATCCCCTCCTCATCGCTGAAACCAAAAGGAGACTTGTTTTACAAACTTGCACATAGATTTGAGATCAGGATCACAGGCATCTGGTTCTGCCAGCTTAAGTTGACCTTTCAGTGCTTAGAATTGGATGGTGATTATTCGAATTTTGAGCATAGGAGGGAGTGATAATGAGCATGGGGGAAAGAGATAGGGCCTAGGAGGTGAGAACACTCGTGACACTGAGAGGATGAGAGGAAAACTTAAGCCTCAGAGCCCTTCGTGGTGAGTTAGTAAGGAATAAAGCCTGCAATGGCTGCCCATCATTTCCCTGTTGTAGTTTGGAAGGCCCGTCATAATCTGGCCCCTGCTTTGCCTTTGAGCCTCATTCTTCATCAGGCACACGGGGGTCAGGGGTCGGGGGACACACTCCCCTACCCTACTCGAAGCCTAAGCTGCAACCATAACAGCCATTGTGAACAGAGCAGTACCACCTGCCAGACATTTTTAAGGACTGACTTGTATTAACTCATTTTGTCCTCATGATAACTGAAATACGTGCTGTGTTTGTTCCCATTTTGTTGAGGAGAACACTGAGTCTCAGAGAAGCCAACTGGCATGACCAGCATTCAAGACCCAGTACCTGTGCTCTTAAACCACTCTGCTACAAGTTCTCTCGGGCCATGCTAAACAAACTGCCGATCTGGTGAGTCCCACTCTTCCCAGAACACCTTCTGTCCTCCACTTCACCTAGACAATTATATCTTACCGTTCAGCATTCAGCTCAGGTGCCGTCACCCCCAGGGCCTTTCCTGGCAGGGCAGGGGCACTCTTCTGTGTTGTATCCCAGCCCTTACCACACTGTTTTGTCTTCACACTGCTTGCCTGGCTTTTCACAGGACAGTCAAGAAGCCCCAAGCCAGCACAGGGCTCGATTCATCTCCCATTCTCCAGTGTCTAGCACACGGCTTGCAGCCTGAGGAGCTTGGTAAGTGTTTGTTGAATAAATGAATAACAAGAAACATATGAAGAAGGCGTGACTGTGAAGATGCAAGTTTGGAATATGAGGACAGGCAAAGCGAGGTGGGGAGTGACACTTACATATACAGAGGCAAGCTTCCAGGTCCCAGGGTCAGGCTGCCTGCCTAAGGAGCTGAGCTTTGCCTCCTTTATTCTTGCACAACCCTTTCCCCCTTTGAGGACTCTGCTTCTGCAATTGTCCCCTCCTCTGTCTTCAGGCTCCCTCCTTCCCTTCTTTCTACAGCTGTGCTCCTCCCTTCCTTCCTCCAAGCCTGTCTCCCCCCGGGATACACACAGGACACATTGGCTGCGTATTTATTTACTCAAATAGAAGGTAGGCAAGAGAAAAACGAACTGCAATCATAGAGAACTCTCCCCCTATGGGTGCTCCGTGGCCTCCCAGGAGCCCCACCTGGGGCTTTCCCTTCCTGCCTGCTCTCCCAGGATTCAGGCAGACTCACTAATTGCAGCTTCACTCACCCAAATTTCTTGTTCTGAGAAAGGAGGCAGTGTTGGGGGGAAGGGGCAGGAGGGCAGCGGAAAGCCCCCGAGAAGGCCTGCTGTCTCCAGCGTGCCGCTGCTTCTCTCCTCCCCCAGGAGGAAGGGAGACGCTCTGGGACTCGCCCCTATCCCGCAGTACCCCCCTGCCACTTCACTGGCTATGAGACCTTGGGCAGGCTATGGAACCTCTTTGTGCCTCAGTTTCCCTGCTTTAGAGGGTGTTGCGAGGATTAAATGATGCACATAAAGCACTTAGTGATGTGACCAAGACGTTTATGTGAGGTCCCACTCTATCACCGTGGTCAGATATGCCATCCCCGTTTTACAGAGGAGCAAAGTGAAGCCCAGCCAGCCTGAGCCGAGCTAGTGATTCAAACCGAGGTCTCCCGACTCCAGATCACACACTCTCCCTGCTGCCTTGGATCTCTGAGGCATGGATGAAAACGCTTCTTCCTCCCCTCCCAGCATCTAAGAATCTGACATGCAGAATTGGCTGGGGGGCGGGGGCGGGGAGGTGTCGGGCCAGTGTCCCAATCTGGAGTATTGAGACCTTGGCAAGAGCCCAAAAGAGAGGGAGCAAGCTCCTGTGTGCCGGCCCAGGGCAGGCCCTCAGCTCCTGTCCAACAGGCTCCAGGGGTGCTGCAAGGATGGCCAGAGGAGGAAAGATCAAAGGCTTCCCAGAATGTGGGGCAGCCTTCAATACGGCCTTGACTGACGGTGGAGCCTGGGTTTAGGCTGATGGGACGGGCCCCCCACTCTCACTGTCTCCAGGCCCCTGGCTGCAGGATCCCGGGTAGAAGACCATGGAGAGGTGGAGAGGGGGCCACAAACCCTGCGGATGCAGCCCACGCAGTGGGAAGCGCAGGCCCCGGGCCCAGCAGCAGCAGGCCCCCTGGTCTCAGCCCTGTCAGGTCACTGCCTCCAGCCCACCTCCAGCCCAAAGCCTGGCCTAGGAGACAGTCCACACCTCACAATCTCGGTCCCAGCGAGCTAAGGGCCAGCGAGGGAAGAAGTCACTGTCCTCTCACCTGGAGTTCCGAGGGGCCTCACCTGTAGGGGTGGACCTGGAGGGTAGGAAGGTCAGACGGACCCCTCTCGCTCCAGGCGGCAGAGGTCAGCACCAGATTCTCACTGCAGGGGAGGGACTGTTACAGAGCGTCATTGAGACCACCTTCTGTTTTCCCCAGGACTCCTCAAAGAGTAGCATAAAGAGATGAGGGGGAGCGTAGTCATCATCTGGTGACTGTTCTGAGTTTTAATGTCTTCTTTGTATTGCTTTTGGCCCCTTAATAACTAACTGGAAAGAAGGGGAGGGGAAACTGAGGCATACAGGCATCAACCTGTCTTCAGAATAAAACAGATATAGGAAGTTTGTTTTTATTCTCCCACTTGTGGCCCAGCTGGAAAAAATCTTTATTCTACACATGTTAAAATTGTGCCCCTCCAGGAGGGGATGGGTATATACAACCACAGCGAGTAAGATGTGCAACGTTTGGGAGATGGACATGCTTGAAGCTCTTACTCAAAGGGGGAGGGGAGCATGGGCAATATATGTAACCTTAACACTTGTTCCCCCATAATACACTAAAATAAAAAAAATAATAATTGTGCCCGTCTATTGACCAACTCCTCCCACCCCACCCCCGTGTTAGAAATAACAATGAACATTTGTATGTTCTTGTCACTTAACTTGCATTAACTTGCTTGATCCACAAAATTACCTTCTATTACTATTAATATAATTGCCCCCATTTTGCGGATCAAGAAAACAGAGGTCAACACAGCTAGTAAGTAACCATGGAGGACTCACTCAGGGTTTCTGACTGCAAAGTCCTTGTCTTCTTTCAAACAGCTTTCTGCCTCCCAGCTGTGATGCAGACGCATAGAAGGAGGGGTTGGGGGATTGAGTTGCTTGAAAGAGGCCCCCCCCCATTCCTCTAAGGGAAGCTTGTGGAATCACTACCTGTTTGGGCTCCCCTGAAATGACCTCAAGGCCCAGAGAGGGACAGTCACACATTCGGTCAGTCATTCATGAAACAAACATTTGCTGAATGTCTCCTGGGTGCCGGGCTGTGTGCTGGGAGACAACAAAGAGGTCCCTGCTATCTAAGGGCTCACAGCTTAGTGGGCAGAAATGAACTGAAATGCAAGGCACACTGTGGCAGGTGACAATAGTCATTTATTCAAGTGCCTCATCCTGGATTACAGAGTCAAATCAGCAACACTCCTGAACCAGCCAGGAGCTTCCAGTTCAGCAGCGACAGAGGACGGGCGTAAGTCTGATCCTGCTCCGGGCTCCTTCCACATGCTGCACCTTCATCCCCTAGCAACCTGTCACTTTTCTGGTCGCCATAGAATTTTCCATACCGACTTGAGACAACAGGAACCAGTGTTCGACAATACAGGGGAAGTCCTCACTCTCCCCTATCCCACTTCTGGAAAGCCACACCCCAAGATCCCCTTCTAAACACACACACAAGCCTCAGATGGACTAGTGCTCTTCACTGTCAGCACTGTCACCTTTGGA